GCACCTACCTGATGCTCACAAATGTATCTCCAGTTCCAGGGGATCCAGCGCCCTCCTCCAACTTCCTGGGGAACCAAGCATGCATATATGGTGCACATACCATACGTGCAGGTGAAACACTAACACAAAAATAAATGCATCTTAAAAAGTATATCAACCAAAATTAAATATTGCTGATCTAACCCAGCAGTGTCTCAGAGTGGCAGAGCATAAGGGTCTGAGAAGTCACAGGTTGGTTCAGTATTTTACAAGTCAGTTCGTTCACTGTGACAACAGGCTTTATAAAGAAAAGTCATATGGTCACATCAATAGATAAGGATGGGAGTGGGAGATGGTTTGGTGGTTAAGGTGCTTGCCATGAAGCATGGGGACCTGCGTTTGGATCCCCTGAAATCACATGAATGCTAGGTGTTCTTAGCAGGCTGCCTGTAATTCCAGTCTTAAAAGGTAGAGCTGGGGCTCCACAGAGCAAGCTGGCAGTGACACCGGACATATGAATGAGATCCTCGTTTGACTGAGAGAAAGATCCTGCCTTTATAGAATAAGAACAAAGAGCCATGGAAGATGATTCCTAACTTCAGGCCTCTGCATGTATTCACACACATGTATAGCCACACACATACAACAGTGCATACACATACTACACACACATGAAAATGGAAAAAGAAATTGGAGAGAAGAATTTGATAAGTTCAGCACTTGTTCATGATTGAAAAAGAAAAGGAAATCACCCAGAGCATAACAAGCAACATTTGTCTCCCAGGTTTTAGGGTTAGGTATCCATGTTTAGCTCAAGTGGATCCTCTGGTCCTCTGGCTCAAGTTCTCACAGGTTAAACTGGATCTGTCAGTGGAGTATGGAGTCCACCTTCCCATTCCACTCACAGGGATGCGATAGGACTTACTTTCTTAGTTCTTCCCTGCCTCTTGATCTGTCAGGTCCTTTCAAGACTTGAAGCTTTCCTCAGAGCAGTGAGGAGGACACCCAAGGCAGAGTCATAATCTCCTAAGTGGCATTCCCATTGCTTTGCATGTTTGAGTCCTTAAAGATAAGCCACTAGATAGACATACACTCTCGGGCCTGCTTTCTCAAATGGCAGATTGTGTAATTGAATGGGGCTAAAAGAAAAAGAATTGGAAATAATGAAAGATTTCCGAATATGAAAGGTTCGTTCAAAATCAAACAAGTAACAAGTCCTAGGGGTTTCTGAGAGTGCTCAGCTGGGATGGGTTATGTAATTTTGTTGCAGCCTTTGTTTGCTCTGAACACACCATGTTCACAATACTCACAATACACACACAGTGTGCACTGCCTTGCAAGTACCTTCATTCGGCTCAGCAGGAACCAACACCACCTGAAACACCTTCTGTCAGATTTAAGACTTTTGCATGTTAGAAGCACAGTGCTTTTTCTATAAGTACCTCATGGTTTAACTATGGGAAAACAAATGCTTTTAATACTTTGCTATAGTTCTTCAGCCTTGTACGCATCCAAATACTGTCTCCTTAGCTTACATTGTTAGAACATTTGGTTTTTCAAAATCACTGTTTGATTTACTGACCTGAGTCTCTTTTTTTAAAAAAAAATCCATTAAATGAATTTTGGCTTGGGATTTAGAACAAATTGTCCATGAAGTTTTGAAAAGGCCTTAAGTCTACTACTGCTGTCCTATATAACATAGTTATACTATTTTTGTGCGAGTGTGATAAAATCAAGGAGTTGATCAACTAAAAAACAAAGACACTCTTGCAACATCAAATGTTCTTTATGGGAAGATAAACAAGCACATTCATTTTCTTTTTAATAAGTGATAAAATTATATAGACACCAAGGAATTCAAAGAATTGAGGTGTGTGTGTGTGTGTGTGTGTGTGTGTGTGTGTGTGTGTGAGAGAGAGAGAGAGAGAGAGAGAGAGAGAGAGAGAGAGAAAGAGAAAGAGAGAGAGCAGTGTTATGTATAGGGGGTGGGGTTGTTTGTTTGTTTGTTTGTTTGTTTTTCAAGACAGGGTTTCTCTGTGTAGCCCTGGCTGTCCTGGAACTCACTCTGTACACCAGGCTAGCCTCGAACTCTCGAACTCAGAAATCCGCCTGCCTCTGCCTCCCAAGTGCTGGGATTAAAGGCATGCACCACCACCGCTCGGCTATGGGGGTGGAGTTTTTTGAGACAGAATCTCACATAGATTAGGCTGGCTTGAACTACCAATGCTGCCTGGGAATATGACTATAAACTAGTCCTCCTGCCTTTAGCTGCTAAGTGTTGGGTTTACAAGGAAGTGTCACCATACCTGACTCCCAAATAATTGTTTTAAAATAATTTTTTTCATGATTTAATTTTAGAAAATGTTTAACTTGTAAGCTTACTTTATATACCTATACACCTGAAGTCAATTAAAAATTTCTCAGGTATAGACACAGGCCCCCAGTGGTGGGATGGGGCCACACACCCATATCAAAGTTTTCAACCCAGAAATGTTCCTGTCCAAAGGAAGAACAGGGACAAAAAATGGATAACAGAGACTGAAGGAAGGGCCGTCCAGGGACCACCACCTGGGGATCCATCCTGTCTGCAGACACCAAACCCAACACTGTTGCCATTGCCAAGAGGCACTTGCTGACAGGAATCTGATATGACTGCTCCTTGGGAGGTTCAGCCAGCAACTAACCAGTACAGATGTGGATGCTTGGAGCCAACCATCAGACTGAGTTCAAGGACCCTGGTGGGGGAGCTGGAGGAAGGACTGGAGGAGCTGAGGAGGGCTGCAACCCTATAGAAAGAACATCAGGTGGCTGGACCACCCAGTGCTATCAGGGACTAGACCACCAACTAATGAGTGTACAGGGAGGGATCCATGGCTCCAGATACATAGGTAGCACAGAATGGCCTTGTCTGACATCGATGAGAGGGGAGGCCTTTGGTCCTGTGGAGGTTTGAGGCCCCAGTATAGGGGGATGATGGAGGGGTGGTGTGGGAGAGAGTGGATGAGTGGGAGAGAATCTTCATAGAGGCAAAGGGGAGGGAGAAGAGGGCAGATGTGGGATGGGGAGGTTGTTGAGGGGTAACTGGGAAGTGGAATAACATTTGAGATGTAAACAAATGGAATAATTAATAAAAAATAAAATAAAAGGATATCCCAAAGTCAATAATAATAATAATAATTCCTCTTGTAAAAAGAGGACAGAGTGGGTAAAGCTTAAGAAGGCCTATAAGGGCAGAGCTGTCAGGAAGCAGTCATCAAGAGTCCTCTTAGAGGTTGCCTACAACAAGCTTAAGTAAATAAATGAATAAATAATAGCCAGCAATGTGCTTACTAACATAAGATTGCTTTCAGTAACAATGCAAGGAATGTGTGGTGCTGCCATCACACTGAAGAACCTACCCGGTGAAAAGATAAATGAAATCAGACTGATTAAGAAAAATTAAAGTGTTCCCACTTGGTGGTCCCTATAAATAACTCTTTTAAAATGTGAAGGGGAACATTGTCAGTGGTAGGGACAGTAACAGCAATCCTGTTTCCCACTGAGGGCACTGACCTGTTGAGCACAGGGTCCTGCACTCCATCCTCAGTATGGAAATTAGTAATAATATCACTATCTTGTACTTAGTTCAAACAACGAGAGGTTTTTGGCCTTTTGCCATATCCCAAGTGAGAACTGAGACCCACCAGGGAAGAGATGTTGGTGCTAAAGAACTTCTATAAGCCTCTTAGAATCCTGAAGCAAGAACACATCTAGAGGGCAGGTAAGAGTTAAATTCATATTAAAACCATTAGAAGCCATTAACCATCTATTTTAATGGCTAAAGTAAAAAAGACAGCAAGGATACCGAGCACTGGGAACATTGAACGTGGGAAGGTAAAATGGAAAAGATAAACTCGATGTGCAACCCAGAGGTCATCTGCTAAGTATTTCCCCAAGAAAAATGAAGACATATCTTCATAGAAAGGACCATGTATGACGTCTGTAGTGGCTTCATGTATAATCACCCCAAACTGGAAACAATTCAAATATTCTTCAACCAGGATTGAATAAACAAACACCAGTACATTATTCGTACAACAGAACGCTACCCGGAAATAAAAAGGAAGGCACTGCTGATAAATACAAGATGTGTGTGAATCTCAGATGCATTCTGTAATGTGAGAATCTGATTTTTAAAAGCTGTGCACTGTATGTTTCCATTTATACGATATTCTGGGAAAGGCAAAGCTATCCAGAAGACAAAAGTCAAAAAGAATAGGCATTCATATTTGCATACGATTTCTGGGGAGGGCCCCAGACCACCGCTAGCCCATTCCTGTACCTCATTATACTTCTACCCTTTGCCAGGCAGCCGCCACGCCCTGTGTGCCCAACTCCAGCTTCCTCTTGAGCTCTGTGTACATTTGCATCGCACGTTCCTTGGCCCGGGTTGGCCAGGTTTCGCACTGTGCCTTTTCTCTGCTGAAGTCCTGCCGCCAGTACACATGCACCTTGGCGCCTAGCATAAGCGATGGAAGGGCTGACAAAATGAGAGGCTGTCTATGCGGTCCTTATTTCAAGATTTTCTGCCATTGTCACTCTGCTGAAAGAGGTTCAATAAGGTGATTGGGGAAAGAGTCAAGGCAACCAAGGCAGGCTCTGCACCGCCAAGACCCCACTACTTGGGAGGGAAGGCCATCCCGCCTCGCTCTATTGCCTCACTCCCATTCATTTTTCGAAGCTGCAGAACCGAGCGGGACCCACGCAATTGCTGCCCTCCCGGGTTCACAGGCGAGGAGGGGACACCAAGGAGTGAGCGTTGTAAGGTATGGACCTGGCCACCCTAGCCCGAGCAGGCTGCTAGGAAGGACAGCCTGGGTGCAGGCGTTCTCCCTGCAGACTTTCCGTGCTGTGACTCCCACGATATAAACCCTGCGGACCTGCAGCGCAGGATCAGGGACCCTGCCAGGTGGCTGCGGGGACAGGAGGGCGGAGGGCAGCCCCGCCCAGCCGGTGTGGTTCCCATGGGGATCGCAGCAGCGACCCAGCGGAGCTGCAGGCTGCGGTGCCCGAGCAGGGCCGAGAGGCGCCGGGAGTCAGGGTGGGAGGTCCCCACAGTCCCCCCGAGCCCGGTTGCCCAGCCGGTGTCCTCTTCCGGAGGGAAATGAGACCCGAAATTAGAACCGGGGAAGCCCTTCGCCTTCGTTGTGCTCCAGCCAGCTCAAGTGTCTTAGATCGTATGAACCATAACGTTAAAAAGATAGATTGTCTTACAGCTCGGCTCGTTTTTGGATGCTGGCTACATCTTCAGCTCGAGGGAATGAAACAGACAACTGAAATTGGGTCACCCATGGCAGCCACCTGTAGGGTCCCAGCCTTGACCGCGATGTCATTGCTGGGTGGGGGTGGAGTCCACACCTGGCTGGTCCTTATTCTTTAACTCGGGCCCTTGTTTTCTCTAGATCCCCGGACGACAGACCTTGTTTGATGAGGCTCCAGAGCGGTTGGTTCACGTATTTCATAAGCGACCTATATGAAAATCCGTTCTCAAGAAGACTTGCTCCTCTGTAATGGAGAAATACGAAAAAATTGGAAAGATTGGAGAAGGCTCCTATGGGGTAGTGTTCAAGTGCAGAAACAGGGACACGGGTCAGATCGTGGCCATCAAGAGGTTTCTGGAAACCGAAGATGACCCTGTCATAAAGAAAATCGCCCTTCGAGAAATCCGCATGCTCAAGGTAGCTGATTTGCTTTTTCTGTGTTAGATAGATGCTGTGGGCTGAGGCTATGCCCTCTTCCCTCACAGCCTTTGTCTTCAGTGGTACAAATCTGAGTCTGTGTGCAGAGAATGGATTATGTAAGAGTGAGCAAGGTGGAGGGGAGAGGTGCGGAGCTCTCACCGTGTCAAATGCAGACAGCCTTTTCACAGGTCCCTGAGAAGCAGAATTTAAAACAACTCAACTTTGCTAGAGTTCTTGAGTTTTGTGCTTCTAGGCTGTTTTCACTTTATATTTTTAACCCATTGTCCTGTTTTCTTGGACTATGCGTGTGGTGTGTGTGTGTGTGTGTGTGTGTGTGTGCATGTGCTTTTGCATGTGTAAGAAACAGACATTTGGAGGCCAAAGATTAACTCTGGCCATCTTCCTCAACCATTTTCCACCTTATATATTGAAACAGTGTCTCACTAGAACCCAGAGCTTAAGGACTGCCAGCCAATTTTCTCCAGGATCCAGCAGCACTGGGACTGCAGGTGGACAGCTGCCCTCAGACAGCATTTATGTGGGTGTTGGGACTTAATGGACTTACATGACAAATTTATCCATGAAGCTCTCACCCCAACACCTGTTTTCTCACTGGGAGAAAGTGATCGGCTTTCATTACACCTGAAGCATTATCCACTATGGGGCTTCACAATGTCCTCTTTTAAAGCAAGCATCCCAGCACAAAAGCAAAACAGTGGCGTTGTCAACGTGTATTAATCCTAAAACTTAATGTGTGTGGCGAGGGGGGGGTTCATTACAAGATAAAAGTGTTTTCCCTCTTGTTTTGGAAACAGGCTTCTTCTCTGAATTTATCAGAGGAGATGCAGCTGCTACTGTAGGGTGAGGCAGGCCATGGCTCCCGTGGGAATTAACTATGCTTTAGAAAGTATGGCCTCTGTGTTCCGTCCTGCCTTGCTACACAGTTAGGGAAGGGCGACCCCTCATCAATGGAAAGTGGTTGAAAATCAGGCTGTACTCTTTGTCTTGCGTCTCCAGGCCTCTCTAGAAATCCTTTCACATGGATTAAATGCATGTATCTAGATGAGGACCATGGACTGGAAGCAGGGACCCTAGGTAAATTTTCACAGATGCTGACAAGAAAGTTTCCATCTTGGGTTTTAAGATGTTCATAACTTGCAGGTTGTTGTCTGTTCTGAGAAGACACTGGTCAAGTGTCTGAGTGGATGATCCTCTCAGAAGGGGTGAACTCAAGTGTTTGTGCCCATCCACAGCTGGGCTCCTATACCTACTGATCTCCACAGAGCCAATGTTTGCCATCTGCTCTTGTGAGCCACTGAACACTTCCGCTTTCTCAGTAGAAAGTGATAGTTGAGTTACTCTCTATTTTATTTATCATCATCATTATTATCAATATTATTACTACTTTGTGGTGTTAAGGATTGAACCCCAGAGCCTTTATCAAATTAACAAAACCTTCTCTCACGGGGAACATTCTCAATCTTCAATGAGTTGATTTGTTCTAAAATTAGTAATAACAATGTGCTAGAAAGGTGGCTCAGTGCATGAATGTGCTCGCCACCAAGCTGACAACCTCAGTTAGATACCTTGGAACTGCATGACATGGAGAGAATTGATTCCCCCAAGCTATCCTCTGACCTCCATGGTGCACAGTAACACTGTGTGTTTCATCCACCATAATAAAAACAAATGTAAATTTTAAAAACATGTCCCCAGGATCGTGGTGGTTGTTCTCTCTCTGGCTCTGAGCATGTCCCCTCTGACCTCTCGCCTCCAGTACATGTATCTCAGCACATTTTAGCATCACTGCGTTCCCAAGTTTCTCTAGGTTGGGAACCTTGCCTCCCTGTCTCTGTGTCTTCCTAGCACACTATGTGGCACCTGCCAGACTCCCAATAAATATTCTTATTGAATTTTTTTAGGGTTAATAAGATAAACTCTTAAGGAAGAGAAGGTGTTACGAGTCAATACTAATTGAGTGAGGATCAATTCTCCCCAAGTTGACCTCTGACCCCACAGTGCTCTGTAGCAGCTGTGTGTTCACCTACCAAAATAAATAACACTGTGAGGTGGGTGATGAACACCACAGAGGATGTGAAAGCAGGAAGCCCCCACTCTCTAAGTCAGGTGCTCAATGTTTCTTCTCTAGTCTAAGTAAGGTGATGGGAGTTGATTGATACTTATGTCTCTTTAGCTCCAACTCTTCAAAATTATATGATATTCCTGATATCCAGTGTGTACTTGGTGCATATTTGATAACTAAGTGAATTGAGGGTTTGTTAGATGAAGTCATATTTTCTTCATTGATCCAGTAATTGAGTAATTGAGCCTAACTGTACCTTAAAGAGTGTTGTGCAAAGTTGTCTCACAAGCTCAGCTCTTGGAAAGGAGGTGGAGTAAGAGCTTCCCGTTCTCACTTCTGCTATACTGAGATCCTAATGGACAGAGCCTGTGCCACTGACTTTGAGTCCCGGGGGCTGGCAAGAGCTCTTCTGGTGATGTTGATTAAAGAAAGCATGTTAGAAGTAGACTTTAAAGTTTGAGAGAGACAAGGGATGAGATGAAGCGACTGTGTTTCAGGCGAACTGAGCTGGAACTTGAGATGTAGCTCTGTGGTTCTACGGGAAAGGTATACCAATCTGGGCAGGAAATGCAGGTAGACACTACAGGGCCCCCTGCAACTAGGTGAGCTCCTAGGGAAGGTTGCTGGATGCACAGTGAGAAGCTGAGATCCCAGATGAAGAGAAACACTCAAAGTGAGATCTCAAAGCAAAGGGTGAAGGCTCCTCAGTGGCCACAGGCCAGACAGGTAAGGGCTGACCCAGACAGTCCTTTACAAAAGCCAAAGAATGGCAGCTGAGGCTTCAAGTGGGACTTTGAACATCATGCAAAAGAATCTGTTTTTCTTCTGGAAAGGATAGCTAGCCAAAAAGAGGAGGATGGGTGGAGGAAGAAGAGGAGGAGGATGAAGAGGACAAGGAAGAGGACGAGGAGGAGGCAGTGGCTTTGGTTTTTTGAGACAGAGTTTCTCTGTGTAGCCTCAGATGTCCTCGAGCTCACTCTGTTGATCATGCTGGCCTCGAACTCAGAGATCTGCCTGCCTCTGCCTCTTGAGTGCTGGGATTAAAGATATGTGCCACTACTGCCCAGCCCACTAAGATTATATATTATATTATTTTATGTAAAGGTTGTCATTTGCAGACTTTTGGACTAATAACCGATGACATTTCTTTTTTTTTCTTTTTTTCTCTTTTTCCTTTTTTCTTTTTTTTCTTTTTTTTTCTGTTGTAAACTTTTTATTTTTTATTTATTTTTTTATTTTTTTGATGGTAGAAGATGTGTACTTTAATTTTTTAAAAAAATCAAATCATAATTTTTACTTATTCACACAGGGGTTATAAACACAAAAAGGCAGGACATGGGAAAGGGGATAGGGGATGACACTGGAGCATGGGTGTTCAGAGGGAATACAGATATCTTTCAGAACAGGGTCTCGGCTGGGTGAAGGTTCAGGGGACAGGACACTATGACTCTGCCTATGATTCACTTGTCCTTATCTAAGTTGGTATTATCCGCCAAGGCTACCTATTTACAAGGTCTATGACTACTCAGGCTTGTAAATTTCCACAAAAGCTGCCTGTTTACAATACCTTATAGCCATCTGTTTCAATGTTTTTCCACAGAGATCCAAGACTTGGTGTTAGTATACATGTATGACAGGCCTATTGCTGATTTTAGGCCTATGGCTGATTTTAGGCCTTCAGTGTATAAGCAGGACTGCCCCTGACATCTCCTCCCTTCTCTAAGTATAGAAGGGCTGTGGCAATTCTAAACTTGCAAAGGTGGGGATAGAGACCTGACCTCCAGTAATTGAAGGGGACTTTGTAATGGCTTCGGTCCTCCTGTCGTTGTCCAGTGAGACATGAGGGCCATGCCCATCCCGATGTCTTTTTCCTGGAGAGGGGATACTTTTGACATCAACCCCTATGCAGTCAGGCTTGTCCCTCAGGGAACCCAGAGAGATATTTTTAACTTTTATTTATATTCCCTTGCAGTGCTTAGCCTCGCAGCCTAAGCAAGAATTCAGATCACCAGTCAGAGGGGGTTCTGGGTGGCCCCTCTTTGCTTGGTCTAGGGGTGGAAGTCCTCTCTTTTAGGTTGGGTGGAGATGGGTTTTGGGAACACCCTGGATAGAGTAACAACCTCATCTTGAGTCTCGTGGTCCTCCATAGCTAACTTATGATAATGAATCTGAATAGGTTTTGCTACCAAGTTATTTATCTGTTGTTTCACAAAGTTAGTCAGCCTATTAAAGGCCCAGGGATGAAAAGAAGTAAGCAAAAATAACCCAATTAATTGTCCCAAGATGGGAGGAAATAGGGTTGACAACCATGATGGAGAGGTTGAAAACCAATTCTTGTACCAGCTCTCATCTTTCTCTTTCTCTCTCTGTCTTTTCTCAGGGCCTTCTCTGACCTTTATAATGCTCTCTTTAATCATCCCTGTCTTGTCTATGTAAAGGCAACATCCTTCTTTAAGGGCTGTACACAGTCAAGAGCTGTACACAGTCTTTTCTATTATAAAAGAGTAAATCAAGTCCAATAAAGTTCTTTGCAATTTTTGGAGGTCTCTTCAGACAGCAAAACGAGGGATTTCTTCAGATTAATGATGTCAATCTCTAGCTGTTTGATGTTCTTGTCAATGGCCCCATTGAAGGTCTGAGTAGTATAAAGTCGGAGGCCAGCATCCGGATTAGAACTTCTAACAGCAGACGTCACCAGTGATTCATTTTTACCAGAGATACTGCCTAGGTTAGAGCTCCTGGGAGGCCCTCTTCCTCTGGATTTTGTGAGGTTAGGTACAGAGCTGCCGCCTGGGATCTGCTCTGTGCTCGGGCACAGACCAGAAGTCCCCGATGACATTTCAAAACACATTTTTTCCTCTTTATCAATTGAGATAGAATTATTAGGATTTCTCAGGGGGTCCTGTTAAGTACG